CAAGCTAGAGACCCAGGAGGGCTGATGGTTTAGCTCCAGTATGAGTCCAAAGGCCTGAGAATCAGAAAAGCCAATGGTATAGTTTCAGTTCAAAGGCAGCAGGCTTGAGACACAGGAAGAGCTATTGTTTCAGTTTGAATCTGAGGGTAGGAAAAAAGCTAGTGTCCTAGTTTGAATGCAGTCAGGCAGAAAGAATCCTCTCTTACTCAGGGGAAGGTCAGCCTTTTTGTTCTGTTCAGGTCTTGGACTGATTGGATGAGGCCCATGTATTAGGGAGCACGATTTGCTTTACTCAGTCTATTTAAATGTTAATCTCATCCAAAAACACCCTCACAAAAACACTCAGAATAATGTTTGACCAAATACCTCGGCACCAAGTTGATATATAAAATTAACTTATTACAGTACGTGTATTACAAATGTATGAAATAAATTCACTAAATGAGGTAGGGTAAGTGTGCTCACCCAAGTAACTTTGGAAATAAGTGGAGTCTGTAACACTAAAGACAAAAAGAACTGCACACAACTCTATACTCTAGGTGATCAAGTTGTTTCCCATGGGGGTATAGGAGTTAACAATTCTGATATTGTTATACATGTATACTGGAATTGAACAATCAAGTAAATAGACTGCAGATGGTGGAAGCCAGATTTCTCATTGTTCGAGTGGGCGGTTACAGCCAAGCAAAGGGAGAAGGCTAGAATGATCCACATGGTAATGGGTTAGAGTTGAAGACATCAGTATGATCTCATGTTTAGCTCAACATAGACAAACATGGTCACATAAATATTTATAGATACATGTACATATTACAAGTTAGTATTGTTAAAATAAAGGAAACCTCAACTAAAACTGGAGTCAGGAAGGCCTGTAGAGGGAGCTTTCACTCCCTACCACTCATTGTCAATTACTCCAACTAGGAAGACATCAGTTACAGACCCCAACAGGAAGAGTCAGTTACTGACCCCAATAGCAACAAGTGTCAGTTAGTGACCCCAATAGGAAGAGACATACCTTGCACTCCCAGAGAGGAAGTCCAACTACTTTGCTCCTTTAGCAAGAGCAAGGAAGGCTTCCTTCTTGCCCAGCAACAAGCCCAGCCAATGGAAAACACCACAGCTCAACCAATGAGAAGCCATCATCATCTGAAGTTTTACTTTCCTCCAATGAACTTTCATTTTTTCCTTGCTGATGACTTCCTTTCCTTGTCTTTCCCTCCTTACTATAAAAGCTTTCCATGTTGTGTAACCCCTTACCATATCTCTCTGCTTGCCAGAAGAGATGCTGCCCAATTCATGAATCATTTAAATAAAGCCAATTAGATTTTCAAATTTACTCAGTTGAATTTTGTTTGTTAACAGTATACACACAGATATTTCCTTGCTCTGTCATCTGAGAGGGCCTAGAAGCAATGACATTCCAGTAGCAATGAGCACATCTAGTACCCAGATTTTGGTTTCTAAGACCATTCTCTAATGAAAGCATCCAGAGCTCCTTGGAGAAATGGCTGATTCTATGACTAGGGCAGGGAATGCAGAAAATGAGCCTGAGGTGTCTTATAGTGCCAGAAAGCAAGAACGTGTTCAAAAAAACAAAAACCACAACAATGAAGGTATGTCAAAGGGATACAGGAGTCTATTGAAAGAAGTTCCAATGGCAAAGTTGGAAAAATCTGAGCAAGAAAATAAAGTAGTATTGGATTATAACTCAAAGTATAAAATACCAATGAACCCATACTGCATTAATAAATGATTTAATAAACAAATGGGTGAGAATAGACAAACCTCGCACAGAGAAGAATTTCAAATAATTTATGTAGATACTCTACCCTCAAGGAGATGGAGCATAACTCCCCATTCCTTAAGTGTGGGCTGCACATAGTCACTTCCTTCCAAAGAGCACAGCACGGAAAGGAGAGAATAGAGTAACTTTACAGTGGAAAGACCTGACAAACACCACCTCAGCCAGGAGATCAAGGTCAACATCGTCAGAGATAACTAATTTTGACAGCATGTACTCACGATATGATATGAGAAGGGCCTGTATCTCTGTGATTTTCCTCCCAAGAACACATAACTCCAGTCTAATCATGAGAAAAAATATCAAATACCAAGTGAGAGGCATTCTACAAAATACCTGACCAGTACTCCTGTTGACATCATCAAAAACAAAGTCTGAGCAACTGTCACAGCCAAGAGGAGCCTAAGGAAACTTGACAACTAAATGTACTGTGGTATGTTGGATGAATCTTGGGACAGAAAAAGGATATTAAATAAAAACTAAGAAAACGTGAATGACGCATGGACTTTAGGTGGTAATAATGTATCAATAGTGGTTCATTAATTGTAAAAAATGCACCATACTAGTGTAAGATGTTAAGAATAGGGGAAACTGGGTGTCGGGTATATGAGAACTCCCTGTACTATCTTTGTAATTTTTCTGTATATCTAAAACCATTCTAAAAAATAATGTTTGAGGGGCTGGCCCGGTGGCGCAAGTAGTTAAGTGCGCGCGCTCCACTGTGGCAGCCCAGGGTTTGCTGGTTCGGATCCCGGGCGCGCACCAACGCACTGCTTGTAGAGCCATGCTGTGGCGGTGTCCCATATAAAGCAGAGGAAGATGGGCATGGATGTTAGCTCAGGGCCAATATTCCTCCGCAAAAAGAGGAGGATTGGCATCAGATGTTAGCTCAGTGCTGACCTTCCTCACACACAAAAAAAAAATGTTTGAAAAGTTCACTAAAAAAAAGAATAAGTACAATACAGTTGGGAGAGAAGAGATGGAGAGGTCCAGAGAAGAGGCAGTTTCTCTGGTACCCGAGGTCTTCTCATTCACACAGTCTGTGAGACCCTTAACCTAATATACAGATTCTGAAGCCAGACCGCTTGGGTTTGAATTCTGGCTTTACCACTTACTAGCCGGGTAACCTTGGGCAAGTTACTTAACCTCTTTGTGAACCTCATCTCTTAAAAGTAGGAATGATAGCCCCTACTTTTTGCCATGTTGCAATAAGGATTAAATGAGCTGATAGGTATAAAGTGCTTAAATGAGCGCTGGCACATAGTAAGTTCTATATAAATAATTTGTAAACTTAAAAAAAAAAAACTAAGAGTTGATTTAGCAATTAGCTGTAATCATACAAGGTAGGGAGATGTAGGTTTGGTTGCTATAAACCAGGCAGTGGTTGCCATAGATATGTCAGAACCTTGATGGCCATTGTTAGGATGTTGCCGTATGCTTCATAATTAGGCAATTGAGCTATGTAAATCTGGCAAGCTTAGAAAGCTCAATCCACCTTCCTATTACTTTACACATCTTAAGTCTTTCATCCAAAAATAACCAACTTCTAATCAGATAAATAATTAACCACCTCAAGGTAAGCAAAATATATCATTATCTCCATTCTACCAATATCTGAAAATGGTAGGTTTAATTTAGGTGATTTCATCCCAGGGTAGCCAGGAGAGGCACTGAAAATGAAAGAAAGGACTGGTAATCCCAGTTGTTCTCCTCCTCGGTTATCCGATTTATCCTTCCTTAGGATAAGTTCTTAAAGAAGAACTTGGGTGATGCCAATTTGACCTTTCTTGGTGGCACTAACAAACATAGAGTCTTAGATCAAGCTAGGAAGCTCTGCCAATTATCAGGAAATAGACATGAAGCTGCTATTGGCCTTGTCTCAAAGGGAGATGGCTATCGTGGAACCCAGACAATCAGGCTCTGGTGTTTCAGGCTCCAGGTCTTATCAGCTTCACCAGCAAAGTTAGAGTAAGGCTGGTTTTGATCATAAGCCATACATAAGGTTTCCCTTTTGTCTGGCATAAGACAGAGCCATTCTCCGGGAGGTCCTTACAGGAAGCCAAATGATTTCCTAGGGAATGAACTGTGCTCTAAAAAAATGCTATGAAATGTGTGTCTGTATTTGAGAATGGCAATTCTCCAAAACAGTGGATGACTCTGCAGAACCCTGCTAAGTTATCCATTGATAAGCTGGCACATACACTGTGTTCATCAGATAGCTAAGCAAAGGCCATTTGAGCATCAGCCAAAGTACTCTGCTAACCCAACCAGAGCTTCCCCCAGCTCTGAGCTCCAATATAATTAGCCATTAGGAAAATGTAAATCAAAACCACAATTAGATACCACTTCATATCCACGAGGACAGCTATAAACAAAAAGACAACAACAAGTGTTGGCAAGGATGTGGAGAAATTGGAACCCTACTGCATTGCTGGTGGGAATGCAAAATGTTGCAGCCACTTTGGAAAATAGTCTGGCACTTCCCCAAAAGGTTAAGTGTAGAGTCATCATATGACCCAGCAGTTACACTCCTAGGTATATACCCAAGAGAAATGAAAACATATGTCCACACAGAAACTTGTACACAAATGTTTATAGCAGCATCATTCATGAGAGCCAAAAAGTGGAAACAATCCAAATGTCCGTCAACTGATGAATGGATAAACAAAATGTGGTATACCTCTACAATGGAATATTATTCAGCCACAAAAAGAAATGAAATACTAATACATGCTACAACACGGATGAACCTTAAAATGATTATCTAAATTATCCTCTTTACTTGGGTGATCATTTCCAAATATGGCTGCACTTTGAAATCATCTGGGGAGCTTATGCAGTATCCTGGGAATCTTTGAGAGTGGGGCACCTGGACTGATGTTTGAAATATTAGACTAGATGATCTAAGGTCCCTTACAGCTCTAGGAATTGTATAAAATCTATGACAGTGTGTCATCAACACCCACATTTTTGAAGCGGAGGCAGTAAGAGAATCAAGACCAATGGATAGCTGTTACTTAGAACAGGTCTTCCAATAGGTCCTTCTTGAAATCTAAGCTGGTTCTTGTCCAAGGCATCACCCCACCTACCCCAACAAGGTTGAATGAAGATATTCCTTACAGGGTTAAACTATGGCTGAAGGGATAGGTCACATCTAATGCCATCGTGCCTGTATGAGTTGCTTTAATAAGAAATCACCCCATTTTGCAGGAACCTGCTGCTGGAGTTGAGGATAACCAGTCCCTCCCTCTATGACATTTATAGACAAGATTGGATAGAATGAGGTAATGGACTTCTGACAATTCCAGGCTTTCTGTTTATCAGCACCTGTGTAGTTATAAGCTGACTTAGGTTCAGTGTTAATAATGGGGCTGATTTCTTGTTTACTTGTTCCCTTAATATTAAAGAACTAAGCTGAATCATGTTCCGGCTACTGTCCTCCTGCTGGTCTCGGCTCAAGACAACAGAAGAGACACGAAGGTAATATTGCAATTATTTCTCTTGACTTACTCCACCATTTCCTCCAATGTTTCTGCCCACAGTCCCTCAAGGGACAAATCTCCATGATACATATTGTTAGGGGAAGTGATTAACCACTGTGTGCAAGATTAGGGGCAGGGTTGTGGGGAGGATGGCCAATTCTACAAGGCAAGTGAATCAGGGAAGAAAAGCATCCTTTGAGGCTTTGGGGAGTGGTTCCCACACCACCTTGGCTGTGCCTTTTATGGCATATGCATTGGGACTACTATAGGCAGAGCCCCAAACACCAAGGAAAATTAGAATTCTCTATTTAGCCTAAGAACTAACAGTGCTTTTAAGACTTTGACTCATTTTTCTTTTCCATTTCCAGGAATGTAACCATCATCATCATTGGATTAGACAACTCAGGCAAAACTGTTCTTTTGGAGGTCTTCCAAAGACGTAAGGAACTAAGGGTATTAGATATTGGTTTACATCTCCCATGGGCCCCAGGGACGAATGAAATAATCATTCCTTCTTAGCCTTACTTCATGGCCCTCAGGTTCCCTCTCCTCGAGTGTTATCAGCCTGTTTTGTAATGTCTATCACCTGCTCCTTTACAAGATATCCTAATTGAAGGTCCCCTCATAGTGTCAGTATTAATGAGCTCAAACTATGTAAAGCACTGCAGTCAATTATGAAGGACAGCATGTTTGAAACTGTCTAGTTTCAGAGCTCTAGTAAAGTGGAATTTGGTCTAGATAAGAGAGACAAGTATGGGATGATGAAGAAGTTTAATAATATGAAACTCTTTGTGACAGTTAATAGAGAGGGTTGGAGCTTGAGAAATGTTGTCAGTTCAGAGATGAACAAGTTTAATACCAGATCTCCAGTTTAATACCTTGACATTTCAAGTAGCAGTTACACAGAATTTCAGGGAGATACTATTCTAGTTGTGAAGACCCCACTAACTGGTAGCCAATCAATCAAAGAACCCAGCACAGTGGCTGGCATAGGATGCCCTCCATTGATGTTGATTAAATAAAAGAACAGGTATGATGACGTGGCTGAGTTTTATATAACCTGGCAACCCTTAGCAAAATACAGAAAAGGGCTAACCTGACTCCTCTGTCACTGGCCTACTTAAAGCCCACATCAATTTCCTTGAACTACAGTAACAGCCTGCTGGCTGATCTTGCCATCTCTAGTTGCGCCCCCAGTATTCAGTCCACACAGTTGGCTGAGGACTTAATGCAAAAATCTGATCATGGCATTTCTCTGATCAAAACCATTCAATGCCTCCCCATTGTCATCAAAATAAAACTTTAGTTCCTAGCGGCACACAAGGTCCTCCATAATTTGGACCCTGACTTCTCCTCCAGTTTCATTTCCCATGCTCTCCGCATATGCCTGCTAATAGAGCCAAAACAAATGACTGGCCATTCCTCTGCCATCTTACCATTGTAGTTCACGTGCCCAACACTTTCTGTACATGCTGTCGCAACAACTAGCATTTCATCCCCTCCATCATCTACTTGCTTAATCAAATGCCTCGAGACTCAGCCTAAACTTGACCTAAGGCAAGTCATCCCTAACGTCCAGCACCTCTTTCCCGGAATCCCACTCTATTCTGTGCCTCCCTCTATCATGTACTTATCGCAACATCATTGTGTGACTGCAAGTCCATTCCCTAGACTGTGAGCCCCTGGAGGAGAAGTAATGGATCTTTTCAGCTCTGTATCTTTAGTCTCTGTACTTTTTAGTACCTTCAGGTAGGTATTCAATAAATATTTCTGGCCTGAATGTTCTCCCCAATTCCATTCTGCTCAGACTACATGTTGCCTCTTTACGACTTCTCCCTCCCCACTCCTCCCCCTACTCCCAGAGTAGCAGCCCCAAGCACCACATTTTAGCCAATGGTTCAGCCTAGTAGCCCACCTTATATGCAGCAAACTTGACTCCTTGCCTCTCCCAATTCTCTGATAGGCAGAAGTAGTAAAAAGATGAACAGCAGTATAGAAATCTAGGAGCCAGGATAAATCAAAAGATTACTGATAAAAGTGGGGATAATTTTTAGAGCCCCAATTCAGCTCCACCCCTAGATTCCTATCCAGTCTGAGTGGGGCCTGGGAATCTATATTTTAAGAACTCCCCAGGTATTTCTGATGGACAGCCAGCTTTGGGAAGCACTCATCTGCAATTAGCCAAATGTTATTTTGTCTGTGAGAATAGTGTCTGCATTCCATTCTAATTCTGAGAGGATAGAGCCTGAACTCTATTTAATTTCTTACTTGTATAGCTTGCCTTGTGCTTGGTGAATAACTTGGGGCTGATTCATAAACCAATAAGTTTATGGTTATGACTTCATTCACAGAGAAGTTTTTAATGGCCAAGAAGCAAAGCGCCACTGATGTCACATTCTGAAGAATGTCTCAGGCCTCCTCTGTCTATGCAGGACTACCAGAGTCCATTGCTCTGTACCCAAAATGCAATGGCTCACCTCCCCTGCTCCTGCAAATGTTTAAGATTGCCAAGAACAGATAATAGCCTAGGAAGGAAACTTCAATCCACAAGTAGTAATGTGTGTGAACATCTGAAGATGCCAGCTATAAAATATTTCGGGACACAAGCCATTATTATCGATGACACCATTCACTATAACTGTTTTGTCTGGCATGGTCATGGGGGAGGTGGGGGTGGGAGCAAGAAACCTAAGCTTGAGCACAAGCAGGTGCCCTAAATAAGGGTGTTTGTAGCAGTGCCTCTTAACCTGGCTATAGATTTCAACAACCTGGGAGTTTTTTTTTTTTTTTTTAAAAACATGATGCTTGAGCCCCACTCCCAATCTATGGCATTAACTCTTCAGAGAATGAGGCCTAGTGTCATAGGTTTTTTTCTTTTTTTTTTGTGAGGGAGATCAGCCCTGAGCTAACATCTGTGCTAATCCTCCTCTTTTTGCTGAGGAAGACCAGCTCTGAGCTAACATCTATTGCCAATCCTCCTCCTTTTTTTCCCCCAAAGCCCCAGTAGATAGTTGTATGTCATAGTTGCACATCCTTCTAGTTGCTGTATGTGGGACGCGGCCTCAGCATGGCCGGAGAAGTGGTGCGTCGGTGCGCGCCCGGGATCCGAACCCCGGCCGCCAGTAGCGGAGCGCGCGCACCCAACTGCCAAGCCGCCAGGCCGGCCCCTAGTGTCATAGGTTTTAAAAGCTCCACAGGTAATCCTGGAGCATACTGAGTACTGAGAGCCAAAAATCAGAACTAGCTGCGGAGCTTTCACACCTACTGATGCGGGAGCTGGAGGTTCAGATACTTTGGTCTGGGGAGGGCCCACAGAATCAAAATCTTAACAAGTGCACCAGATGATGCTGAGACACAAGAGGCATGAGTTTCATTGCCCTCTAGGGCAGTGCGTCTCAAGCTTTAAAGTGCAGAAGAATCACCTGGCGATTTTGTTACATGTAAGAGTTTGTTAAATACACAAATGCTTGGATCTCAAGTGTAGAGATTCTGATTCATTTGGTGTAGGGTAGGACTTAACAATCACCCCCACGTAACTCTGAGGCAGACAGTCCCCAGACTGTGCTTTATGAAACACTTGCTAGGGATATAGAGATGAATCAGACTCAGTACCTGTTCTCAGGGAGTTTATAAATTAATAGAGGAAATAAGAGAAAAGTAAATTGTCAGGGAACAACTTCTTGTGGCTTCTAGGGTTCACCAACAATAGACTGCATTAAAGGAATTGGTAAGGTTTCAAATAAAAAGAAAAGAAAAACTAGGGAAAATGTTTTGCTCTGACAGGGAAAAATAAATAATACAAAGCTTGCCTCGATGCAGGAAACAAGATTTAAAAATTACCTTTAGAGTTTTAACCTATTCACTTATTATTTTTAAGTAGTCTAATATAGCAAATATCACATCAAAGTTGTGACTGAAAATTACATGAAAGCTATAATTAAAAAGATCATTGACTAACATGAAAACAGAAGTTATAAGACCACATTAAAACATAATAATATATACACATAAAGATATATATGTATACACATAAATGTGTATATAATCATACATTTCCAAAGATCTGAAAGCATCTTACTAACTTCTCAGTGAAATGACTCATTGTGGCAATCCTATGGAAAATGTCACAGGTAGATCTGAGACTATAAACAAGCTACTGATTCTGGTTGTAGAATTTGTAGGTATGAGTGTAGAGAATCTACAAAGTCATTTTGCTACTGATGTGGGCAGAGAGCTAGGCCAGAACTGTCCGTCCAATAGACTAGAACGTGCATAAAGACTGCCATTTTGAACTGCATTTCCATGGGAGCTGAATGAGGTATGGAATGCCCTATGGGATTGTATGCTCTGGCTATAGCCTTGAAAGGACAAATGTATCTCAGTTTGGCATGGTTTCTTGGAGGAGATCTGAGGAAGAGGACTTCATACTCTCATCCACAGTAACAGGCACCATAAACGTTTACTGAACACCTACTGTGTGTAAGGTAATGCAGAACCCCTCCCTTACAGAGCTTATATTTTAGTTGGGGAGATAGGGCATGCACAGAATGAGGTGAAGGACCAGTTTAACAGACCATATGCTCAACGAGAGAGAAATGAGAGCTGGGCAGGTCAGAGAGGCTTCCTAAAGAAAGTGGTCCTTGAGCTGGGCCTTGGAGAAAGGGTGGGAGAGAAGGGCCTGCTGTACATTCATTCATTCATTTATCAAATTCATTCACCAAATATTTATTGAGCACCTGTGTGCCAGCTTCTATGCTCAGCTTTGTGAATATAATGGTAAATAAAATTGACAGGGTTCCTGTCCTGTTGCAGTTTATAACCCAGAGAAGTAAATCATAGAATTTACAACACTGTAATATGTGCTGTGATAGTGGTAAACCCAGAAGAAACGCATCTTAATCCAGACTAGGGGATGGTGGTGTGAGTTAGGGAAAATTTTCTAGAGGAAACAAGATCTAAATTGATATTTAAAAAAAAATAGGCATTAACCAACCAAAGAGTAGTGGAAGAGTATTCTAAGCAGCAGGAATAGCATCTTGTAAAGACCCAGGGCAAGAGGGAATATGGCATTCTTGTTGAGTGGAGGGAGTGTGAGCCAAGGAGCAGAGGGAGGAAGAGACTGGGTATGTACCAGGGACACTGTGGACACCAGTCAGGGTGGGATAGGTCTGGCAGGTTAGGAGGCAAAGGAGTCTGTATTCTACCCTGGGAGCAGTGGGCACTTACCGAAGGTTACTGAGCCAGGAGAGGGGAGCATGGGCAAAGGACCGGGTTAGGAAGATGAATCCGTGAATGTGAGCAGGGTGGCAGGATTCCACAGGGCAGGCTCTGATCAAGGTTCAGATCATTGTTTAACAAATTCTTTCATCTAATATATTCTCCTACTTTGTGGTTGCTTCTCCTCTCTTCCCTATGCATAGTACTTCCCAGTAGGATGAGCCATTGTGTGAAATCTGAACTAACTACACTCCTATTGGATGAGTATGAAGTTTCCATCTATGACCTGAATGGAGACAAGAAGGGCCGAGAAATCTGGCCAAACTACTATGCGCAAGCACACGGGCTTGTTTTTGTCCTGGATTCCAGCGACTTAGAACGCATGCAGGAAGTGAAGATCATCCTAACACGTCTGCTGTCTGATAAAAGAGTGGCAGGGAAACCCATCCTACTGTAAGACTCTGCCTTTGTGCTCAATTTCCCCTTCCCATTTTGTGCCTTCAGAAGAGAAGTAGACAGAAACAGGGCTGGGTGGTCCCTTTGTCACATCCAGCTAGACCTCCTCTTCCCTTTGGCTCAGCGTTGGGGAGTGGCCCAGTCCTCTGGGGGCTGTTTTCAAGAGCCACTTTCTATGACACATGGGGGAACACATTACCTAATTGTGCAAAGGTAATTTTGAAGGCAAGCATCAAAGAGAAATGGAGAGTAATATCTGGATCTCCCACCCCCATCGCTCGACTCTTCCTGAAGACTGCCTTCCTGAACTTGCTTCTCTTTTCTGGCTTCAGTATCTGACCTGAGACAGTGGCAGAAAAGAATCCCTATTTTGTATAATCGATGTCAATGGCCTCCTCCCTTGGTAGACTGTCCAATAGTTATGTAACAAACACTTATTCCAGGGTGGTGATTCAGGTGGCCTGGCAATCCTCACCCCTCCCCCACTCCCTTTTTGCCTTGTTCGTTCCTCATTAGCATCCCCAACTCAAGCATGAACAGAGTTTGGAAGAGGATGTAAAAACTCCAAATCTGTTCATATCTCAGCTAGCAATTTTTTTGTGTGTGAGGAAGATTGGCCGTGAGCTAACATCTGTTGCCAATCTTCCTCTTTTTGCTTGAGGAAGATTGTTGCTAAGCTAACATCTGTGCCAATCTTCCTCTATTTCGTATATGGGATGCCGCCACAGCATGGCTGATGAGTGGTGTGTAGGTCCATGCCCAGGATCTGAACCCGCGAACCCCAGACCGCCAAGGTAGAACGCGTGAACTTAACCACTATGCCACCAGGCCAACCCCTCCCAGCTAGCAATTTTAACTAAAGTTTCACGGCGGGAGTGTAGAGGAAGTGAGAAATGAGGCCTGGGGATTATCCTGGATTCACGTTATTTGGGCTATTCTTTCCTCCCTTGAGAGTTGGCTGGAAAAATGTCTGGCCCATCTCACTGGGTATGTCTTTAAAGCTAGTTCCTGGATATGCAGCAGGTGTACCAGAATTGGTTCTCCCCTCTTTCCCTTCTTTTCTTGCCCTTGGCCTCTATTTCTGTCTCACTCTTCCTCTCTTCTTCCCTCCCTCTCTCCTATGCCCTGCTCTAGCATGGCAAACAAACAAGACAAGAAGGACGCCCTCCTACCTTGTGATATTGTCAAATATCTACTCCTGGAAAGGCTAGTAAAGGAGAACAAGTCTCTGTACCGAGTGGTAAGTGTCAGTCCCTCCCCTCCCTCACCCTCTCGAGCCCAGCTGATGCACCCCTCGGCCCATTCTGTAATCAGCCCCATAGGCTGGGTCTCAGGCCAAGCCTCTCCCCATCAGGCAACATCTACAATGATGATTTTTGACCCAACAGTGAGAATAAATATCACATTCTTATAACACTTTCACATCTGTTTTCTCATTAGGTGTTCAAAATAGGTGTGTCAAGTTGAAAGTTTCAATATCCTCATTTTATGGATAAGAAAGCTAAGGCTCAGAGACTCTGAGTGACTTTCCCAAGGTCACACATCCAAGATATTATACCACAATCACTTTATTAAAGGACCTTAGCTTTTGTATCTTTCACTTACCTTCTTAGGAGTCAAAGCTGAGTGTCTCCCAGAAAGTCTTAGAGCCTCTCTAGGCACAGCAGAATTTATATGTACCTCTGCTCTTTGGCTGAGAGTGATTGGGACTGTGGGCCCCAGGGGTCTCAGGCTCCTGGGCTGGAGCCTTCTCTTGTCTTTTTGTCACAGGAACCCTGTTCAGCCATCAAAAACCTCCAAAGAAGGAACCATCAGTCCATAATTGAAGGGCTACGCTGGCTATTAGCTGCTATTGGTGATAAATATGAAGAGCTATGTAATCGTCAACAGCCACTCACCTCAAGCTTTCCAACCTCCAAGAGTACCAGAGGCTCTGGCGAAAGATGCTCATCAGACAGGTACTGAGCTGCCTCTATTAGGTGTACTGATAAGAATAGATGCAGGAGTCAATCTTCAACATGAGCAGAGAATTCTGGGAGGTGCTTGGATTCTGTGTGGTGCTGAGCAAGTCTCTCAAGCTCAGTTGGCTCAAATGGGGCTAGGGCAGTGACCACAAACATTCCACATTGTTAGGTACACCCTCCCCCCAGCACAACTTGAGTGGTCACGTAAAGTGGGATGAGTTGCATAAAGGTAGAGCCAACATATCAGCATTAGAGTTTCTCCAAAACAGGGTTTCTATTCCCTGGTTTGCCACATGGAGGAGAAAAGGAGCATGAGCCCCTTAAGAAGCTTATTGGCAATAGTCTATGGATGAATGTTCTGGAGCTACCCCACATTCTCCTCTTCCAGTTCTCCGATCCTCCCAATAATAGGGAAAGATGGGAAAGAACAGGAATACGGAAAAGAAGAAGAAGAAAAAGAAAGCAGGAGGTGGTAAAAGTTTTGAGGAGTAAAAGGCCTAAGTGTCCTCTTGCTCTATTGTCCCTTTAATTGTCCAAAGGCATGATAGGGATGGGTAATAGCTGCATTTGATTAAGGAGCTTGAAGTGTGTCTGTTTTCACTATTGCTTTGTCCTTTCTATCTTCCCCAGCTTCACTACCAGGATGGGAATGCCCAAAGAAGGAAGACAGCATCTAGGACCACGCTCAATGGAAGCTAGACCCCTAAAGCCAATCCTACAGGTAAATCGCTCTTTATATGTTATTGCCCAAGGACCAATCCCTGACTCTCGGGCACCAACCAACTTACTTTTTTTTTCTCCATCTTCTTGCCGTACAGAAAGAAGGCTTAAGATTAAGGCCTAAAAAGAATATATCGGTGACATTTGCTTTAGATGAACCCATGGAGGAAGGTGAATGTTCTGGGGGAAATGGAGTTCGGAACACTAGTGAGCTTCACTATAAACAGAGTGATGACTTGCAGCCCCCAGCTCCATATGTTGATGACGATCTTTTTGAAGGTAATGCTGGATCCGCGGTTAGTCAGAGAAAAGGTATATAGGCCTTCTCTCACAATTTATGAAACAGCATTCCTATTTTGAGTCTGAAACTCTTCTCATACTATGGTTGGTGGTCAGCAGAAGTGAGTGAAGTGCAGGGAGAGTGCCTGGGGACCACCAACTGGTAGCCCAGTATGATGCCCCAGCACTGGCTGACACAAGATCTTTGTTTGGATGCCTACAGGGTTATCCTAAAGGTTATGATTTCCAGTGGTAGAAGTATAAATTGGTACAACTTTTATGGAGAGTAGTTTGGTTGTCTGTCTCCCTCCTGCTCTCCCTATCTCAATATATATACTGAGAACCTTAAAAAAGTGGAAACCCTATGAGCCAATCCTCTCATTTTTCGAACTGTATCCAAAGATAATTATAAGTACCCCCCAAAATGCTCATGGTTTGTCAATCACAGCATTGTGTACAATAGCTAAAAGCTGGAAAGAAGCTAAACAGCTAACAATGGGGAATGGTTCAATAAATTATGGTGCATCCACACAGTGGAATGCTACACAGACATTAAAAGGGCTAATGTTGACTTATATTTAGTGACACTGAAAGTTTTTCATGATCTGATGTTTTGTTAGAGAAAATGGCAAGTCAGAGTATAGCATGTACAGCATGATGTTATATATGCATAGATTATCTGGAAGGAAATCACCAAAACATTAGCGGTGGTTTTCTCTAGGGTAACATACTAGGTGATTTTGAGAAGTAAAAGGCCTAGGTATCTTTCTTTGGATTTTTGTTTTATTAGAAATTTTCTTTTTATAATAAGCAGATATCATTTCTCCCAATATAATATAGGCATTAAAAGAAAGCTGTGAGGATTTGAAGGTCCATTGTTAATGGCCACTCCTTCTCAGTGTTCCTTGGGTCTCCAGTGTCCAAAATGGTCAACTGTCAATATTATAACGTCACTTCTGCTCTCCAAGGGATCTGGCCCTTCAGGCTACCCCAGAGCCTTGGCTTGTTACTCCTATAGATTGGGGCCTGGATTTGGCCAGGGCCACTGAGGAGGAAAGAGGCACTGCTCTGGGCATGAGGGGTGAGGATGAGAGTTTAAGAGAGGAGAAGTGTTTTTCTAGATGTCAAAAACTACCCCGAAATCTCTGTTCAAAACTGAAATTCATTTTTCATTCCCATAACCTCAGAACCCAGGGTGAAAAAGAGAATGGATACCTGGGACCCAGAGGAGATGTTACTGGAAAGTTCCTGTGAAGAAGTCTTTGGATCCTATGGTTAGCATTCCTTAAATGAAGCCGAGAGGGGAGAAGGCAAGAGTGAGAGAAAATATGAGGCCAGGGTAGAGGGTGGGTGCCAGGCTGGGTGCAGTCGACACCCCCTTGGAAAGTGGCTAACACCCTCCCAACCTGGAGTGGTCTGGGAAGAACAGGAAACGTGATGCTTAGCTTCGCTTGCAGTGACTGGCTGTTTTTTTTCTCTTATGACTTTTAACAGAGTACTGAAGAGAAAAATGGAGGGAAGTCAAAAGAAACATCTAAAGTCTCTCCCTCAGTAAATGGGCTCATTTCCAGAACCATCAGGACTACCCAGTTTTTCAGTTTCTATTTGCTAATACCTCTATAGACTCTCTACAGCTCCATCTACTCTTCACATCACATCCCTGAGAGCTCCCATTGTTCTCATTCTAGCCATCTCATTCTAGCCATCAAATGAATCTTATAGCCACCGAGAGGCTCAAGGAAAGTTAGGTGGTATCCATTTGAGAATGAAGATGACCTTAGCAAAGAAGAACACAGATCTTATGTCTTTGCACCCAGATACTTCTGATGAAGCCTGTGAACAACACGTCACGGGTGACCAACTGAAATTGAGCCTTGGAAGCACAGGCTCAATTTAGAATTACATGTTTTCCCCTAAGGTTCTTGGGTGTAAGGGGACTGGCAGAAATAGAACTTTTCTGCAGGGGCAGGCCCCGTGGCTTAGCAGTTAAGTGTGAGCGCTCCACTACTGGCGGCCCGGGTTCGGATCCCGGGCGCACACCAACGCACCACTTGTCCGGCCATGCTGAGGTGGCGTCCCACATACAGCAACTAGAAGGATGTGCAACTATGACATACACCTATCTACTGGGGCTTTGGGGAGAAAAAGAAGGAGGACTGGCAATAGATGTTAGCTCAGGGCCAGTCTTCCTCAGCAAAAAAGAGAGGAGGGTTGGCTTGGATGTTAGCTCAGGGCTGATCTTCCTCACAAAAAAAAAAAAACTTTTCTGCTGAAAATTATGCTCTGCTCAATCATTTTCAGTCACACCTCCAAAAACAACTTGGTTTTAAATTTCCAGCCACTATCTGGGAAGCTGGTAACAATTCCTTTAGGCTGTTCCTTCAGGAATAGCAATTGCTGCCTCTCTTAACACTTTGGTTAGGTATGCATAAACTGTATGAACTTGAACTCATTCAACCTTCCATCCCAGGGGCATAGCAGCAGTGGTGGTAGTTACTATTACTATGACTATTACTTTCACCATCAGTACCACAGCCACCATTTATTGAGGGCCTTCTGGATGTCAGGCACAGCACTAAGTTCTTCACATTCATTATCTTATTTACAACCCTTGAGGGTAGGCAGTATTCCTGTATGCATTTTACAGATGAGGAAACTAAGGGGCTGAGGAGTTAAATAACTTGCCCAAGATCCCACAGCCCGTAAGAAGCAGAGCAGGGAAGTGAATCCAGACCTGACTCTAGAGCTACTTTGGGCCAGAAAGATGTGTTTATGCTTTTCTCAAACTCTATCCTGAAAGAGAAAGCTATATTCAGGAAAAATGCTGAAGCTTAGCCATGCCCATGTCAGGAGAATTACATGGATAACAATAAGCACACCAACAGTAGTAGCAGATATGGCTGACTGAGCACTTCCATTTTGCCAGGTGCTGGACTAAGTGCTTTACATAAATTATTGCCTTTCATCTTCACAAGTCTATGAGGTCGGCTCTATTATCATCCTATTACAGAGGCAGAAACTGATATTCAGATAGGTCAAATCATTTGTCCCAGGGTACCCACTAGGAAGTGGCAGAACTGGTTTTCAAACTAAGGTCCAACTCCATAACTCATGCTCTTAACTCCTACCCTATACAGTCTCACCAGGCACTATAAACCAACTAGCCCATAATTGTTTCTGAGGGATAGAAACCTTGCACAGAAAGATCAGTCTTACAACCCCATCTGGAGGGTCTCACACTATCTAAGGCTACATCATTTGCTATTATGAATTGCATATGGCCTTATCTCCAAGGGAACCACTCCAGGCACCTTGTGAGTCTTTGACAGGATTCTGACTGAGGCTCAGCTTGTTAGTCACGGAGCTGGAAGAAACCTTACAGAGTCTGTAGTCCAACCCCAGTTGTTAAACAGATGAGGAACTCCGGGTACAGAGAGGTTAAGTGACTTACCCAAGACTGTAAAGCTGATCACTGACAGACACGCTCCTAAAATCCAGATCTCCTGTGTGGCTGAGCCAGTGTTCTATCTTCTCTACCCAAAAATACTACATCTTTCCTGGGTCTTCTTCTGGCCACCTTGACGCACCTACTTGCCTCCAATTTGCCTGATAAATATCACTGGAGAATTCTGCTGATAATCATTCTCACATGGGGATGCAGCAAATATCTCTACTGAAGAAGAGTTTTATCAGGCAGGAGATTGTAATTCAACAAACCCACGTTCTTAAGAAAATTGGATCATCCACATTTCTCTTTATGGTATGTGTGTTTATGAGGCAGGCATACTTTCTCAGCCAAGAGGGAAGGGGAAGTGTGGCTAAAACAGGTGGGAGTGCTACCTATGAATGAGGGCAGGATGGAAAATTTAGGTTGAAACAACCTATGATAAAACTGAATTTCAGTATATTGGCACACTTCCCTTTGTACAATATATGTGTTCCTGGGTGTCAACCAAATTTTCCTAAATAGAATCTATCAGCCACAAAAAGTTACTTAAAGAATATTCCCCAAATACAGACAGCACACCCTTATTTATTTTTGAGTGAATCTTAATTTTGTTGCTGCAGGCTGTTACTGTACTTTCCAAACCCCTTATCAAGCTGGGTGATCTGGCAATTTCACCCAGCAAAGACAGGAATAAGAGTACCTACCTCACAGGCTTGTTGTGAGGATCAAAGGGGACAATCCATATAAAAGTGCTTAGCATAGTGCTCAGCACATAAGTAGCTCATTTAATGTTAGCTACTATTATTATGATTAGCGGAGGAGCTTAGATCATTAGACAGCTGTACCCCCCTTCTGAGAAAGGTATCCTCTTTTCTGCAAAGAACAACCCAAAAACAGATGTCTTAGGTTCTAAAGTACAAAGAGCATAGAGAATCTAAAGTAACTATAACCACTGCCAACCACTGCCTCCCATATCTTTGTCTTTCAGAATCCTAAATCTGCTGAAGAGGTCTTACAAATGTATGTCTCAGCATGGCAGCCCAGGGACCAAGATGAATGATAGTTTCTTGAGCCTAGAGGGGAAATTTTCTTTCAGGCAAGCTGTTGCCTTGGAGTTTCTCTCCTTTCATTGTCAAGATCTTGGCCTCCCTCCTCCAGGACTTTTATTTTTATTTATTTATTTATTTTTTGCTGAGGAAGATTGGCCCTGAGCTAACACGTGTGCCCATCTTCCTCTACTTTACATGGGACACCGCCACAGCATGGCTTGATAAGCCATGCGTCGCTCTGCATCCGGAATCTGAACCTGCAAACCACGGGCTGCCAAAGTGGAGCGCGCGAACTTAACCACTACGCCACAGGGCCAGCCCCCTTTTGTTTTTTTTTAAAGATTTATTTGTATATTCATTTACTTTTTTTGTGAGGAAGATCAGCCCTGAGCTAACATCTGTCACCAATCGTCCTCTTTTTGCTGAGGAAGACTGGCCGCAGGCTAACATCTGTGCCCATCTTCCTCCACTTTATATGTGACGCCGCCACAGCATGGCCTGACAAGCGGTGTGTCGGTGCATGCCGGGGATCCGAACCCCGGGCCGCCGCAGTGGAGTGCGCGCACTTAACCGCTACACCACCAGGCCAGCCCCCCTCCAAGACTTTTAAAGCCTAGCTCCTGACAGAGGCACTTCAAGCATATGACTCTGGTCTATCATTCAACAAGCCCCATGTGGCTCTGGGTACTTGTCCATTTTGTCTTGCAAGACAGGCCTGGGCTTTCTGACTAGAGAATTCAATATGGATAGGTAGAGGAGTCCCTCT